TGAGAAGGGACAGTGTTGACATGTCGTGGGGTTGTTAACCATTGTCATAAAACAATGTGTGTACTAACTGTTCAATGAGAAACTGTTCTGTCAACCTTCATCTAAAGTACAATAAAAAAAATTTTAAAAAAGACCAGACTTACTGGCCTGACAGAGACTGGAGAAACCCCGAGAGTATGGCCCCCGGACACCCTTACAATTCAGTAATGAAGTCACTCCTAAGGTTCACCCTTCAGCCAAAGATTAGACAGGCCCATAAAATAAAACGAGACTAAACAGACACCCCAGCCCAAGGGCAAAGACGAGAAGGCAGGAGAGGACAGGAAAGCTGGTAACGGGCAACCCAAGGTCGAGAAGGGGAGAGTGTTGACATGTTGTGGGGTTGGCAACCAATGTCACAAAACAATATGTGTATTAATTGTTTAATGAGAAACTAATTTGCTCTGTAAACCTTCACCTAAAGTACAATAAAAAAAAATAACAATCCTCTGTTCTCTGAGATCATTTAGGAAATGGTCCTGCCCTTCAGACTCTAGGTGTTGGCCACACTCTTCTGGATTCTGGGTTGAGGCCCCTCAGCCCTGGGCTTCAGCTCTGTCTTCCAGGCACACTGGAATGGCAGCTCTGCTCCCTTGGCTTTAGGCAGCCCCATTCTCCTAGTCCATCTGAGTGGCAACCCCACCCGCTCAGCCCCAGAAAGGAAAAAAAAAAGATTTATAGACTTGGAAACCCTACAGGGCAGTTCTACGCTGTCCTATAGGGTCACTATGAGTTGGAATTAACTTGACAGCAATGAGTGTGGGTAACTATTTATTTGGATGGAAGTTCCTGGATGGTGTAAACAGTTAACATGCTTGGCTACTAACTGAAAGATTGGTGGTTTGAATCCACTCAGAGGCAGTTCGGAAGAAAGGTCTGATGATCTACTTCCAAAAAATCAGCAACTGAAAACGCTATGGAGCACAGTTCCACATATATGGGGTCTCCATGAGAGTCAACTTTACAGTGACTAGGTTTTTAAAATTTATTTGGAAAGTCACTATCATTAAGGTTCAATTAGAATTTGAATGCATTCTTTCACAGTTGGGATATGAGCAAAATGAACCCATTGCATTGTACTAACTGAACTTTCAATTCATACCTGTCCTTTAAAACTGGTGATGACTATATGCTAAGGAATTAATCATACATGTTTTAAATTTTATGAAATAATGTACTTTACCAAAGTTTCGGTACTTACTCATTGCTCACTTCATGCAGGTCAGATGCTGAATTGTTTTGCTTTCCCAAAACAGCGTTAATTATTTGTAATACAATCTGGGTTAGGTTCATACTTATCTCATCACATTGTGAAATATCGGCTACTTTAGAAACAATTATCTTTGTTTCTTCTTCATCCAGAGGGGGGGATTCATTTATCAAATTTAAAATGTGCTCCGCAACATCATGTGCATTCTCTGGGGAACAAAATTGAAACATAAAACCTGTGTTACTTAGTTTTAGGCCATGCTGGTCTGCTTCCCTCCCTTTAAAAAGGAAAGGCAGTGAAACGGAAATACATACCAAGCCAACAAAGTTTACAGAAAGGAAGTGCTAAATCTCAATTTCTACGATAGATGTAGTTCCAGAACATAACACAGAAATCAAATTTTTTATTCATTAAATCCTTTTTAAAATGCACCAGGGAAACCCTTTTGTCACTGAAGAATTACCTTGCAATTAGATTCTAATTAAATTAAGACTTTAGAGTATTGGATTGAGTGAAATAGATCCCACCGGTACTCAGTATCAGCAAACACCTAGTCTATCTTTTCATGATCAAGAGTAGAGATTGTTTTTCTGTTAAGAACCAACAACCCACATAGAAAAGCAAATATGGACCCCTAACAATAAAAAGTAACTTAATTTAGATTTTTTAGAGAGTAAGAACAATAGATATTAACTCACTCACTTTTCCTCTTCACTTTTTATTATGGAAATTTTCGAACATACACAAAAGTAGAAAGAATAGTATGATGAATCCCCATGTACCATCATCCAGCTTAAACAAGTATCAATACACTCTTAATCTTATCTGCTCTCCAGCCTACCTTCCTCCCACCCCTAGATTATTTTAAAGCAAGCCCCAGACATCATATCATTTTATCCATAAATATTTCAGTGTGTGTCTAAAACGTAAGGACTTTTATTTGTCATAATCACAATACAATTTTCATATCTTTAAAACTTAACAACAGTGCTCAAAATCATCAAATATCTAGTTATTATTGTATCATTCCTTAACTGTCTCAAAAGTTGTTTTTTTATAGTTGGTTTGTTTGAATCCTCACTCACTTTTAACGTTAAGAGCTTTGTTAAACAACTACAACACAAACTAGATTTTGGTTCGATTTAACCCATATAAAGCCGAGCTCCCTTGTGCCCTCCTAGTAAAGCACTCCCAGTCAAGTCCACAATATAACGGAAAATAATTGAAAAATACAGTCTGTTCAGAAAAATTCCGGACAGAGATTACATTCATAACGCATTTAACCCATGTTATATTACAAATAACCGACACTGTTTTTGGAAAACAAAACAATTCAGCATCAGACCTAAAATTCTCAATTCTGTCTGGGTCTCTCACTCTTGCTCTCACTGTCCCTGTCTTTCAGCATCTTTCACAGTTGGCAGCATCTCTCCCAAATCTCTCCTTCTACTCCAAAACCTGTTGCCATCCAGTCGATTCCGACTCATAGCGACCCTATAGGACAGAGAAGAACTGCGCCATAGAGTTTCCAAGGAGCGCCTGGTGGATTCGAACTGCTGACCTTTTGGTTAGCAGCCATAGTTCTTAACCACTACACCACCAGGGTTTCCAAATAAGTGATTAAGTGATTGAATAAGTAAAGAAATGGGGGGAAACTCATTGCCAGCGAGTTGATTCCAACACATAGTGACCCTGTAGGACAGAGTAGAACTGCCCCCTAGGGTTTCCAAGGAACACCTGGTGGATTCGAACTGTCGACCTTTTGGTCAGCAGCCGTAGCACTTAACACTGCACCACCAGGGTTTCCAGGCCCCCCTAAACTTTACCAGCAACACAGCCTACACAGGTATTTTCTCTTTTTCCTTTTCCCCCTCATTTTCTTGCTCTATTTTTTTTCCTGCAAATGACTCTCTGACCTAAATTGGCAAAGACAGTTCTCCCTGAGGAGATGGGCGAGGGGGTGCGCTTGAGCAAGACTGTAATTACTTCTACATTAATATTTTTGCCCCTGTTGCATCTATCTTATGGTCAGTTAAAGCAAGTGAGAAAACAGTAAGACTAGGGATGGAAGAAACCGATAGTGAGCTCTTTCCCCGATCTTTCCACTGCTCTTATTAAATTGTTCAGACTTTGCTGTAAATGCGATAGCTGGAGCTGCCTACCTGCGGTCATAATTCTTTGGGCTTCAGTGGTGTGACTTCACTTCCTGCAATCCCTGCTGTGGCAGAATGAAAGTAAACAACAGGCCAATGGGAGACTGACTGTACTGTGGAAAGTAATTATAGCCTTTTCATGTGGAATTGTAAAGTTTTTAAGCAAAAGTTACGACAAATTACACTCACTGTGTAAAAATTCTAGGTCTCCAAGCAAAAGCAATAAAAGGAATCCTCCTTAATTAATTGTAGAATAAAAAAATCACCTCTGCTTGAAATACTGCTAGTTAGTCTGCCAGTAATTGCAACAATAAAAAACAATAATGATATTTGTTATTTATTGAGCAGTTTCTCTAAGCCAGTGTTCTAGTTATCTACTGCTGTATAACAAACCACACCAAAATGTAATGGCTTAAAATGACAATTTATTATTGTTTCTCATGGTTCTGTGGGTTGACCAGGCTTAGCTGGGAAGTTCTCATTGTGGTCTCTCATGCAGTTGCAGTCAGATAGCAACTGGAGCTGGAGCCATCTGAAGGCTAGACTGGGCTAGACGTCCAAGATGGCTCCCGCACATGGCTGGCAGTTGATACCGACCATGGGCTGGGAACCAGTTAGGGCTGTTGACTGCAGTCCATACACAGGGCCTCCCCTGTGGCTTGAGCTCAGTGGTATGCTGGATCTGCAGCAGGCTTGTACCAGCTTATGAGAAACAATTGTTAAATTTCCAGGAATTGTGTGATCTGGTTGTTAAACACAGCCATTACTAAAAACCAAATTACATACATTTACAATTAAATAAATTATATTAAAAATAATGGTGATACTCAAAACTCATCACTTTCTAATTGTTTTCCTACACTTTACTAATCTTTACCCTTGTGATTATTTACGTCCATTGTATCTGTGTGGTGCATCTCTTACCAACTTCATGCTCAGTGATGACACGTAGCTTCTATTCAGTCATGTTGGAGTATTTATACAATGAAAATTGACAAATAATATGAATCAGTAATTTTTTTTGTAGAATTGGTTGTTAAACATTTTGCAGCACACCACTGTTTGGACTTCTTACAGCATGGTTTCTGTGTTCTGAGAGGAAGCATCCCAAGAGAAAGAAAGTAGAAACTTCCAATTTTCTTAAAAGTTAGTCCCATAATTGGCACCATGTCACTTCTGTCAAATTCTTTTGGTCTAAGGAGTCATAAAAAACAAAACAAACCTATTGCCATCGAGTTGATTTCAACTCATGGCGACCCTATAGGATAGAATAGAACTGCCCCATAGGGCTTCCAAGGAGTGGCTGGTGGATTTGAACCACCAACCTTTTGGCTAGCAGTTGTAGCTCTTAACCACTGTGCCACCAGGGCTCCAAGAAGTCACAAGCCAGCCCTAACTCATCTACATACAAGGGAGGAAGGAATCAATGGTGGCCATTTTGGAGACAAGATATCAGTGAGGCAATGTACGTATATTTTCTCATTTAATCCTCACAATAACTCTATGTGATGAGTACTAATATTATCCCCTTTTTACAGCTTAAGAAATTAAGACACAGAAAGGTTCTAATCCAGATTCTAACCTAGGCCTGTTTGACTCTGAAGCTTGAGTTCTTCAGTATCACTTTCTACTACAGTGTCTTTGCCTTTGTCCCTTTTCTCCCCAGTGTTGGTGGTGGGAGAAGCTGTACTTTGCAGTCCTTCTCCCTGACATCCTGGGAATTAGATTATTCTCTCTCAATCACTCACTATCCTTTCCTGACGGTGGGATGGACACAGATAGGAAACTGTTTTATGAAAAGCCTCAGCCAACTTCATTAGAGACTGATGCATCTTCAATGTCATGGAGGCAACAAAAATAGAGCACACCAAAGGACCCACAGAAGTTTGAAATAAGAGTATATTTTCTAACTCTGTGTATTAAGTGTGGAACTGAAGAATATTTCCCTAAGCAAGATACCTAATCCTAGTCAGCCGATTGAAAGCTAAAGAAAATCAAATAGATTCAAAGTGAATACATTTTTCTTCCCTTTACATTGTACTCATTGTTCATTAAGCTCCTGACTTAAAAGAAGAGAAGGATTCTTCCAGAGCTAATAAACTTGATAGTTTACTTTTCAGTTATACATATTACGATCACCATCCAACTGTTCTCTTCCTCCGCAGAAGAATTTTCTCTATTGAGCAATTTCTGACAGTTTTCTAAAAATCCCAACCAAATACAATGTTTTTGTTGTTGTTATGGCTGTTCGTTAACTTTCTCTTCCACAAGAGAAAATTCTATTAGCATGTCTAAAGAAAATGTGTCACTCAGAAGGAGGGAGATCAGCGGGAAACACGGACCTATCTATTTTGCCACCCACTCACTTCAAGCTGTAACACTCCCTATGGCCCTGACTCATGACTTCGGATCTAAACACCATCAGAGTTGTGCTTGCTTTTCTAACTCTTCTAGATCTTCCTCATCAAGAATCACAAATTTACATCTTCTGCAAGAAAGACCAGTCTGAGAAGTTCACTGCCTAAAGACCAATTCCCTGGCCCTCCTGCAAGGCACTGGAATGTCTGTGCCTCAATTTCCAACAATTCGTTATGCAGTAGAACCATGCCTGACAAGGTGTGTATAAAATGAAATTCTATGAAGAAAACCTTTATGCATACTTACAGGAACTCTATGGAATACCTGTTAAACATCAGTGATAAGGAGAGGCAAGGCTTTCATAATAGTGGTATGAGGAGGAGCTTGGGGAAACTTCTCCCCCAGAGAAATATCATCTATTATTCTTGTCAAAATTAGGAAAGACAAACACTCAAAATATCCAGAAACTGATGAAAGAGCTTACAATGGATTGAGAAATATTTATTAAACAAAACGTATAGAAACCTGGTAAGTGCAGTGGGAGGCCGTGACATTCAAGTTAAGCACTGCATCCATTCCCCACAGCTCTGTCTTGTGGAAGAACTGTTCCAGTGGGCTCAGCATCCAAGTAGCAGTTCCCATCTCCCCCAGCTCCCTGCAGTGGAAGAGCTACTCTTGGTGTATTTGGCAACCAGTG